TAAGATTTGTGACAAACTGTAAAGCATTAACCCATCACTGTACCCTGTATGCAAGGGCTGGTTTGCCTTCACTAACTGTACAGAGGTTCAGTCACTGGTACATTTTTATATATAAAGCCATGTTAGGGAAACTTCCATCCTACATCTGCTCCCTGATCTCACGGCGAATTGTAAGAGATCGCATGCTTTAGTTTTATCAAATGTGCCAACTGCTAGGACTGTCTTATGGAAGATAGCATTTAGATGCACAGCTCCACTGTCTTGGAATAGTCATCATTTGAAATGGAAACTGAGCAATCTGATGCCACTAAATGTTTTTAAAGCTCGGTTGGATGCTACTCAATCGGAAGCTGTTGGTTCCTGTTCATGTGGATAGTTATGTAAATTGTAATCCCTGTAATGATGCTGTAAAATGTCCTTTTGTTGTTCTGTTTATGTTTTTTTATTTTTCATGTGGAACCTACTTGAGCAGGTCTCCCTTGAAAAAGAGATCAATGATCTCAATGGGATACACCTGGATAAATTAAGGTTTGAAATGAAATGAACAAGTCTCGAGTGAAAACATAGCTAAACTTCCAGGTCATCTTTTTGGCCCCAAGTTTGACGAATGCTTTCACTAGGTGGACATTTCACCATCTACTGTATTTATAACTCTAAAAAATAATATTTTTAAAACATATTATCTTGGTTTCTTCTTTTCTAAGGTTACTTGTTCTGTTGTCTTATATAATACCTGTTTTTGATATTTATTTTCTTATTAGCATTTATATGCATTGCAAAAGCACAAAGATGTCCTTCTTTAGATTAAGACATAATTTCTTGTCTGAACAACAAGAAGAGCGGGGAGATGGAGATCTATAGGATTTCTGAAGTGTTGTTACAAGTATAGTCATACGAAAATGTAATAATAATGTTTTACAATGTTAACAGTTTTTAAGGATGTTAAACTATATGTTTTGAGAGACTTTGCCCAGACAAAGGAGGCAGTTTGCTTTTTATTGTTGTGTGAAGAGTTAACCAATTTCGAATTTTCCCCTTCATCTCACTGAGGGATTCAGGCTCCATCTAAAGAGCAATAAAAGACGGAGCGCAGAATCCATATGGGTACTCGGATTAATGACCCCTTGTCAGCACAACGATGACTGTAGTCCTTAAAAGTTGAGCACTTTACATTAAAAGCCACACTACCATTATGGACACAAGGGAGAGCAGCTCAGAGATATTTTGCCATGAAGTCAAATCTCGACTTTTAGAGTCACCGATTGGAGTAAGAAACACTTATCAACAATACTTTTATGGACTCAGGAGCACGGAAACATATTTGTGTTCGGGGGGTTGTGGTTGACATGAACAAGAATCGGTCAACATTTATATGCAGAATGTTTCCTTTTTTTTCTCTTACCGCTTTCCCCCATTCGAATTAAGCGTCTGTGTGAAACCGAAATGTTATCTATAACTAGGAGCATGGCATTTCTAAACATAAGGGAGATCCTGTTTTAGTACAACAAAGCAGGGAAGAAAAAATACGCCTCAATGTTTACGGAATGTGTAAACAGAGGAACCTTTTCTAAGAACTATGGGCGCTATCAGAAGCAATCTGCTACAAAGCCTGTGAAGAAATACGGCCAATACAAACTCCTTTGAACTTATTCAACACAGTGCTGTTCCCACGTTCTTCCATCAGAGGGAATTATACTGCAGTGGGCTTGAAATAATAAGCCATCCTGAGACACAACAACGAAGATTTACACGAGTGGTCCGTTATATCTCTCACAGGCTCCGCCCTCTACTGGACTCTATGGGTACTACCTTATCATGCAAGCATTCTCCTACTGAGACTTCTATAGACGTAGCCGGCCCCGGGCGGGCCTACCTGAATGCGCGCGCATCACACCGTATAAAAGGAGGCCTCGCCTCCTGACTGTCATCCCTTTCTCTTCAGCGAGCAAGAAAAAACTAAGACAAGAGACGAGAGTTTGAAAAGTTTGGAGAAGTTGAATCATGGACTCACCACTTTTGGAGCAACGGCCCTGCCCTTCGTGCCCAGGCTTGATTGCAGGTGCCGACCTCCACCTTCGAGTGCCTGGGGTGTGACCACGCGGCGGCCGGCCTGGGCCAGTTTCCGTCCTGGGCCAGTTTCCGACCTGCAATGCCTGCCGCCTGATTCCGTGGCTCAGCCGCCGCTGCGAGCACTTCCAGGAGCGGTATGTCGCGCTAGAAGAGGCGGAGGACCAGGATCTCGACGTGGTTGAGATGGAGGAGCAGGATGCCCCGTTCACCGAGGAGGAAGACGACGACGACACCTCGGCGTCTGATGTTTCCGGGGCCGGCCTCCAGGAGGGTCCACAGCACAGGTCTGTGCGGCGGGACTTCCCGGCGGTGATGACTATAGCGGCGGAGCGTGCAGGCTTTCCGCTCCCCCCACCGCTGCCACAGAGGCCGTGAGCTGCCTCCACGAGGGCTTCTGCGGCCCGGTCCGGCCCGTCCGGCGCAGCCAACCTTCGTTTCAAGGAGTCAGACATCTGGCCGTGTGTGGAGGCGACGTGGCGACAGCCACTGAAAACGAAGGCTCCGGTGGCAACATGGGCAGGGATTCTGAGGGTGCAGGGCCGCTCGGACACGGAGTGTCCCGGTGTGCCCCCCCTTGATGAGAGCCTTGCGGCCCATCTGCTTCCGCAGGCAGCCGGGTGGGCAGAGGGCAGGAAGCCTCTGCCCCCACGCAGATGGCCGCAGCGGCCAATAATTTTGGCTGTTGAGTGTGTCGCTGATTTCCCCTCAGCAGGAAATCCCCGCCTCCCCGCCTCCGAACGGGAGCGAAATTCGGACCACTGCATGGGCCAGGTGAATAATCTGGTCCACAGTATGGCTACCACAGCTGGACGTGTGATGTCCCTGGCCACAGTGGCGTCGCGTCACGTGTGGCTGGGTCTGACCGCACTGTCCAAGAAGAACCGGGATGATCTCCTTGGGGCCCCCGTATCCACGGAAGGGCTCTTCGGGTCGATCACCTCGGTCACCCAACGCTTCAGTCGCTTAGAGGAAGAGAGGGCGCAGCTCAGCCGCATCCTGCCGCTGGCTCGTCCTCAGGCTCTTCCCCGGGGGGGGAGAGCGCCCGGATGTGGTAAGGCGGAGAGAGAGGCGCAGGAATAGTGGCTGCCGTACTCCGGCCCCGCAGTGGGACCTGCCGTTGGTGCTCGAGGCTCTGGTCACAGAACCATTTGAGCCTCTGGAGCTCTCCTCCCTGAAAGCACAGTCATGGAAGACAGCGTTGCTACTTGCCTTAACTTCGGCCAAGAGAGTGTCGGAGCTGACCGCTCTGTCGGTGCACCCAAGTTACTTAGTGATCCGGGGTGACCGTAGCAGGGCGACTCTCAGACCGAACCCTTCCTTTGTTCCCAATAATCTAAAGAGCTCAAGGGCTATACAGTTAGGAGGCTTTAATCTTCCACCCCATAGTGGGGCCAGGGAGGCTAAATTGCACATCGCATTAACACCATAACTTAACGTGCATTGCGGCTAAACAATCCAATTACCGAGCTTCAAGCTGAGGATATTGGGTAATCAGTTCAGCGGGTGTGTATCACAATGATGCTCGAAATGTCCCTTATAGGCCTACGTCTGTTTCTGGTGACTTTATTTTGAAATTCAGTTCCTGAGGAACAGCCCAAGATTATAGAATCAAACAAATAAATAAAAACAAGGATAATTGTGTGTTATTGTTGAGTAAATAATAGTGTGTTATTTAGAAAAGAATAAAAAATTAGATTAAAAATACAGATTTCAGTATTCTGAGGCTCTGAGCCCCCATTTATTTCCCTCACAGACGGCAACAAAAGTCAGAAATTAATACGATTTAAAATAAAAACAATAATCTGTGGCTTGATATTGGAGTAACAACATGTTTCTATGAACAACACAGCTTCCGGTCTACCACGAACGACCGGACAAAGAACTGCTGCAGGCCACGAACACATACCAGTAGCAAATACACGCTTAAAACTCCGGGCTCGTGCAACACATGGAAAAAAAGGAGAAAATCGTGTTGGTGAAACACGAACAATAGATTTAAAAATCGGTGGGTGAACACGAAAGCCATGAGACTGGGTGGTCAGGGGGAGGAACAACACAGGCACCAGGTGCACACAACAGCCAACAACATACATGCGGAACAGGGAAGTTGTCGTCAATATAGCCCCACACAGTACAATGATTAATCCAGATGCCACTTGACCTCAGTAAACGGCGTCTCGACGTTACAACACTCCCCTCTTCTCCTAAAAGCGCACAGTACTCAATTCTCAAGTACCCGAGATAAACAGGCTGCCACCAACGTTGGCTTCCCGCCCATAACTGGACCAGTAAATTGCATAGGGTGCAAGGACCACCCTGTGAGAATGTGTGTGTGAACTACAACGGACATAATAGATCCTCCCCTGAAGCTATGACACACCAGATCCCTCCCTGAGGCTAAGGACCTAATATATCCCTCCTTGAGCATGGACACACTAGATCCCTCCCCTTTGAGCATGGACCTAATATATCCCTCCTTGAGGCCATGGACACACTAGAACCTCCCTTGAGGCTAGGACCAAAATATCCCCTCCCTTGAAGGCATGGACACACTAGATCCCCTCCCTTGAGGCTAAGAACTAATATATCCCTCCCTGAGGCTAATGGACACACCACCAAACATTGTCCACATTTCCTTCCCCTCTCGCCAGGAAGCACAGGTCTTAACAGTCCCAGGTTCGGACCACCAGTCACCACCCGTTCATCCACCGCCGCCTCCCCGCCACATCAGCGGGGCCAGGAAGCCGTTACCGGCAAGCTGTTTTGTCTGTTTGAAGGCCTCTGGTCCTGCCCCTATTCCACCCAGGTTCTGTCGACTCCTCGTGGGTCCGTTAGCTCGTCCGTTAGCTCGTCCGTTAGCTTCTCCTCCTTGTCTCCGTTAGCTCGTCCGTTAGCTCGTCCGTTAGCTCGTCCGTTAGCTTCTCCTCCTTGTCTCTCGTCTCCTGCTGCCTCAGCAGCTGTGGACCCCTGGTCAGTTCCAGGCCTAGCCACCCCCAGCCGCGGTTCCTCTCCTTGGTCCCTCTTCTTTCCTCTCGTCATTCTCACCTCCTCACTTGGTCGAATCCCACTTCTGACACCAATTGTGAGACTGACCGTTGAGCGGCCCGACCAAGCAAGGAGGCAGGGGCAGAACGTCCAAAAATATAACCCGACGTGGGCATTTATTAAATGATCACACATAATGACACAGCCTCAATAAGTGGTTCCCGTGCCCAGCCTGCGGCCACCAGCAGCTCACACAGACTGACCCTCAGCACAACAAGAAACAATTGAGGGGGGAGCAATTAGACACAGGTGAGGGGGGAGGAGACAACACAGGGCACCAGGTGCACACAATCAGCAACAACATACATGGGGAACAGGGAAGTTGTCGTCAATATACCCCACACAGTACAATGATTATATCCAGATGTCCACGTGAGCTCTAGTAACGGCGTCTCGTCGTTACAGGCAGCCATTCCATTCCAGTGTCTGTTGAATTCCAACATAGAGAAATGTTGTCTATTTTCCATCTGCAGTCCCTGGGCATGTACAAATATAACAATCGATAAGCACTGAAGACGTGTCTTATTGTCTATCACACTAACAATTAAAACAGATCAAAATACAGATGTACAATCTATTAGGTCTAACACATTTAACATTACAACTATAATGTTACAATTCATTTAACATCTCAAATCACAGTAAAATGAATGTTGAAAGCAGTGTAACGGGTGTTAACAGGTTTTGTGTGTCTGTATCAGGAGGAGAATGACATCCCCAGCTGTGACCTGAGTGGCTTCATCCGACCCAGCCCCGTCATTGTCGCCTCTCCTCTGTCCACCTTTCACAGATGTTCCTCTGAGGATGGCCCCATCATACCTGAGACTCAGGTAAGACCTGCGTCCCTGGACATGTACCCAATGCCATTTATTGATACGTTTATAAAAATAAGATCTCTGCCAGAATGGTCAATGAAATGGTCTTTGTCGTCATTATCTTAGTAAGTCTCTGACAGTTAGAAAAACATTGCTGATAGTTATTTCATTATAGTTTCAGTGATGTAATTCTGCCAAAATGTAAATGGCACTGTAAATAAAATGGTCATCTTATTATGAGCCAACCTACTCCTACTTTCAAAAGATTCATAAACGTCAACTAACATTGCTGTCTATGCTCGATTATGGACTACGGACAGTGGGCAAAAGGAACTTACTTTTTTATAAGATAAAAAAGAAGACTTTTTAACAACATAAATATACACAATGCATAGATATTTTTGATAAACGTTATACAGTTTTTATTTTAATATGTGTTTGTATTGGTAATATATTAACACAAATTGTATCTCTCAAGAATGTTTAAATGAAGAATACAACGTGATTAGAATAAACCTTTTAGACTATGTCATTTATTGAGTATGGCAATGAGGGTGAATTATAGAAATGAAATGTTTATCTGGAGGAGGACGCTGTTCTTCAGTCCACACATGAAGGGCCAATCAAATACAAATAAATAGAAAGTACATGTTATTGGTTTATGCTTTTTGGCTAGGTTTATGAAGTCTCTGTCAGTGAACACACAAACACACACACTCACTCACACACACACACACACACACACACACACACACACACACACACACACACACACACACACTCTAATGTTCTATAAACCTAAAAGCACATGTGTGTGGTTCTTTATGGTCTCAGCGCATTAACCCGTGTGCAGAGGGGGTGGAACATATGACAGAACTCTGTGTGTTTTTATATTTTTACAACCCTGAACCAAATCATTATTATTTGTATTTGCCAAGCATGTGTGTATGTGCCTGAATATCTGAGATGAATGGAAAAAGTTTGTGTTCACGTGTGTGTGTGTGTGTGTGTGTGTGTGTGTGTGTGTGTGTGTGTGTGTGTGTGTGTGTGTGTGTGTGTGTGTGTGTGTGTGTGTGTGTGTACACACACACACACACACACACACACACACACACACACACGTGAACACAANGACGGTATATTACGCTGTTTTTTTTCTGCTTCGAATAGTTCTCTCTTTTTTCACCATACCTGTGTTTGCATCCCTGTTAAATCTACAACCCAAAAATAAACATATGGAGATGGGTTGCTATTTTAAAAATGTGCAAATCGATTTAGGAACCTATGTGAACATATTTTAAGTGGGGGCGGACCTCAAATCCTATAGGGAGGTCTGGGGGCATGCTCCCCCGGTAAGATTTTTTTTTAAATGTTGGAATTAAATGTTAAAGTTAAAGCCTTTTATTGTCATTATACACAGAGTATAACGAGATTCAGAGTGCAACTCTGTCCCGGTGTGCAAAAAATACAAACAAATACATAACAGTAAAAAAAACGGCAAGACAACATACTATCATACGGGGGAATAAATAGTTAAAAATATTGATATAAAAATAGTATATAAAGTGCATTAAAAGTGTGTATGTGTGAGAATGATTACGATTATTGCATTATGTGTGGTGGTTGAGCAGCCTGACGGCCCAGGGGTAGAAACTGTTTTTGAGTCTGTCCGTGACTTGAATGTGCATCAATCTGGTGCATTTTGAGGGGGAAATAAAGAGACTACACCCATATGAAACAGAACTGTATACATTTAAATAATCATACAATCATAAGTACATGGCCACAACCAATAACACACCATATCCGATATGAAAAAAACATTGAAACTTGTTTATTTATTTGTTTTTGGTTCATTTATAGTTGTGAGTGTGTCTGTGCTCCTGAATCAGCCTCACCTGTCTCCCTCCTCTCCCCCCTGCTCCTCTTTGAGGCAACAGCAAAGACTAGTTTTAGCTCTCAACAAGTTTATCTTACCTTTTTTCACCTAACCTAGTTAATATTTATGTGCGTCGACTATAGT